GACATTTGCTTCCGCACTTTCAGCTCTGCATGCGAGGCCTGGTGCACGTGTTCAAGTATCTGGAGACGCAGGCAACCAAGGAGGAGAAAGGCGCCCGGGCAGGTGGCAATTATGACGGCTACACGACATTGCGACGTGCGCCGCGTCACAATTCCAGCGGCAACATGCTGGAGACGACGTCCACGCAACGGCATGCGATGCGACACCAAATCGACTCGGGCTATAGCACCAGCGATGGACTGGACAAGCGCTGGTCGCACGATGCGCCCGGCAAGTCGAAGACTGACTCGCCGCTGCATTGTGCCACGCTGCCTCGCACGATGCCCTCCAACAGCAGCAATCAGCAGCCGCAGCAGCAGCAGCCGCAGCAGCCGCAACAGCAACAGTTGCTGATGGATGCGTCGCTCACCTCCAGCACCAGCACCATTGTGGATGAGAGTCTCACTCTGAGCGCTGGCGTCTCGCCTGCCTCCTCGCCCTGCAAGCGTTCAATCGAGCACATTGGCTACGCACACTCGAACAGCTCCAGCAACGGCTCGTCGCCGGATCAGGACGAGGATCTGATGCTGGATCACCATCAAGAGCGCACCAATGGCAAGTCAAGCAAGAGTCTCAACAATATACAGACCTATAAGTAAGTCCCAGATAGTTAAAATATACATATAAATCTAAATGAAATATTTGATACCCCGAAGGGAATACAAGGATGCCTTGAAGCAGCAGCGCAATCAGGAGATCAGCGTCTATAAGCAAAAGCATCCCAATGCAAACTCGAGTCCCAACGAGGAGGAGCTGCCACGTCTCACCAATGGCACCGCAACGGCCACCCTGCCCAAGTCGATTATGAAGCAGCCCAGCAGCAACGGCAATGGCCACAGCAATGGCAATGGCATCGATGATGTGGTCATACCAAAGAAACCTATACAAAAGGTGATTCCATCACGCAACACGGAACTGATGTCATCGTCCGTTAAATCGCCAGCCGAGGGCAACGGCTCAAATTGCGTGGGCTACGTAAAGCCTCACAGTCCACTCAAGAACGGCATTGGGGTGCTCACGAATAGCAACAACAATGGCTGCACCACCAAATTCAATGGCAGTGGCAGTGGTGCAGGTGCTGCTAGTGCTGCTGGCGGCAATGCCATCAAGTCACCTGTTAGCAATACCAGCAAGTTGGGCAACGTCAAGTCAGCACGCACAGTCACCTGGAATCATGATATACCTGCCGAGAAGCTGAGCTTCACCATGCGACGAGAATTCGATCGACAGCGCGAGGAAACCGAACTGATGTCACAGCTGCGCAGCGTGAGTGATGGCCGATTGTATATTCAATTTCAATTGAGTCGATTCTAATTATTTTGCCTTTGCAGATCATTGAAACGCGTCTGAAGATGACGCTGCCGGAGGACATTGCATCGGCACTGACTGACGGCGTCATACTCTGCCATTTGGCCAACTACGTGCGCCCGCGCTCTGTGGCCAGCATACATGTGCCATCGCCCGGTGTGGTGCGTATGGTGGTTTGATTGTACAGTTAACAAAGCAATTGTGGTGCTAGGGATAAAATTTAAAGAAGTTGAATTTATAAGTCTAAGGATTAGCCAATATATATAACATATGTATATATATTTATTCCAATCTATGTATCACATTGTATTGTTTAACTCTATAGCAACTGAAAATATTATATTATATTATATTATGTTATATTTGGTATGTTGTTGAGTTAACCAAGCAATTATGGTGCAAACCCTTCAAGTTTCTTATAAAATAGATGTAAAACGGTTTAAGATCCAAAAGCTGTATTTGTGTTATTTATTAGATTTGAAGATTGATCCTGTCATATACATACATACATCCATACATCTATTATTCTATCCTTGCACCACACTGTTTTGCTCAACTCTACAACTACAAATATTTATTATATTTTATAGACATATATTAATATAAAATATTTTCACAGAACAAACTGTCCATGGCACGCTGTCGTCGCAATGTGGACAATTTCTTGGAGGCCTGTCGTCGCATTGGCGTAGATGAGGTATGTTTCTACCGCTATATTAATAAGCTACAGTCTTACCTCTAAGTTAGTGAACATTGTATTGGTTGTGGGGCAAATTGATATGCTTTATAGTGCCTAAAGCTTTGCCGCTTTCGTAGTCAGTTTACATTTAAGTGACACTTGACCCAATTCCTCAATCCACCCACACACTCACATACACACCCACACACACATAAACACTTTGAAAACAAAAGAAATGACGCATAAAATCTGTTATTGGTGTTGGTTGCAGGAGTTGATTTGCTCCTGTGCAGACGTTGTGCCACAACAAAACGAACAACCACGCGCTGATGATGACTATGACGCTGATGTGTATGTCAATGATAAAGACAGCAGCTATAGGAACAGCAACAGCAGCGCCAGTGGCAGCAGCAGCAACAACAATAACATTGATACTATTGCTGGCGGCCGGCAGCAAGTGCCAAATGCAGTTGCCCTATTGCGCACAGTGGCCGCTTTGATTGCGCTCGATGCGAATCCACATCATCAGCATATGCGCTGCCTGCAACAGCAGGAACAGTTGCAGCTAAAGTTGCAACAGTTGCAGCTAGAGCAAGAGCAACAGCAACAGCAACAGCAGCAGCAACAGCAACAGCCAGAGCAAGCACAAAACTCCTGCACCAAACAGCCAGAACAGATGTTGCAGCAACTAGATAATGTTATGTATGAGAATTGTGTGGAGGCGCATATGTCTGATGATGATGTCACACTAGCGACAGCAACCTGTATGCTCTACGAGCGACCAAAGCCACAGCAACTGGGCGCAATGGGCCAGCTGCTGCGCACAGCCAAACTGAAGACCTATGAGAAGATCAAGCACAATCTGTTGAATGTGCATGGCCAAAATAGTTTTCAATTGAACAACAACAATCGCATGCTGCAAACGATTGTCGAAAGCGAGCACGACGTGGCCGCCGCTGGACCGGCTGGTCACTATCATCTAATTGACGAGAAGCAGCAGCAGCAACCGCAGCAGCAGCAACAGCAGCAACAGCAACAGCAACAGCAGCAGCAACAACAGCAACAACAGCAACAGCCAAAGGAGGAGAAGCCGTTTACAGTAAAGTCTCTAGCTAAGCGCATAGAGTTCTTCGAGCAGCAGCCCAAACTGGAGGTCTTCAGCATCTATCGCATAGACGAACCGCAGGCGCAACAGTCGCAACTGAAGCAGCTAAAGCAACACGAAGCTGGAACTTCGTTGCTAAAGCACGACTCGCACACACTCACGATCATATTGTCGTGCGTTTTCATAGTCACCTTCCTCTGGCTGGTCTTCTTTCCATTGCCCGGCTAGCACATTTAGTAGTTATTATATAGTCTATATAGCTGCTATTGCCTTTATGTATTGCCAATAGTTTTAAGTGAGCTTTTATGGCGCTTTATACTAATCGGAAAAAAACAAACAAACACACACACATTTAACGCTCGTAGTTCGAGTTCTTGAGGCTGCTTTTAAGTATTACGCAAAAGACCTAGTTGTTAATTCCACAAAACCCAAAGACTTTGTGTACCGCATACCCACATAAATTGTATTTGCTATCCTGTGAGATTTATGTATATTTTACATATGTGAGATTCTACAATATCCAGTTCATCATATTTCATCAGTTTCATCATCATGTAGAAGCCAAAAGCTAGATTACGGGTATTCCCACAAATTGTATTTGCTATACTGTGAGATTTATAAACATTCATGACTATATACTGACTATATAATGATACAAAACTGTAAAGCTAAAACATATATACTGGGGCTATTCCCACAAAAGTTGTATTCGCTATTCGCTAGACTAATTTAGACCCATATACCGTATCATAATACACTCCATGTAACCAAGTATATCCATCATATTCACATAGAAGCCAAAAGCTATGCCTATTCCTAATTGCTAAGTTACAACGAAACTAAAAACAAAAAACTTGATTTGCGTTACTAAGTAGAAAGTAGAAAGGTGTGTTTATCAGTGGGGAGGAGAGAATATCTAGATAGTTATATAATACATATAGGGATTGTTGTTATTGGAAGAGGCAGTCGATCAGGCGTTGTACGGTTTTAACTGAAAGCAGGGACACAAAATAGTTTATAAAAGAAATGAAAAAACAATCGTGAAATAGATATAGCAAATAATTCGAAGCTTCAGCACAATACGATGGTAGTTTGAAGAGTGTTAAATGTATAGACAACAATTCAATTCAACTTCAGCAGATATCAACAATATATATACGCACAATCTTTTGAACAGTCTTTCCTCAACGCACGCCAATTCTCATCTAAAATTTTGACACAAATAGTGCCTTTGACTGGACCAATATAGACAGTCAGAATCTGCTATATATCGGTACATATATAGCAACCACACACACTTACACACAAGCAATATTTCGCGATTTCGTTGCCAAGAGTTTTCAGTAAAAACTAACATAATTTGTATCTTATGAGTGAACTATTTTCCCAATGACTATAATTGTATTATTTATGACTAAAATGGAAAGCAAATCAACTATATATAACATTCCTAACTATATCGATATAATTTAAAATTTATACACTTATATATTATATATGCTTAAGTACTTAACGAAACTCTCGATGAAAGGCTAATCAAATTTCTAAAAGAAACGCACACTCGAAAACTTGAATAGTTATTTAAAATTAGTTATCAAGTACTTAAAAACAAATAAACACAAACATATTTATATTTTGTCTAACAAAATTGGAAGAAACCCGAAAAAAGAGAAAGATATATAAACATTCAGGCAGCTATAAGAAATGCAACAAAACAGATATAAATATATATAATAAATTTAGTTATAGTCTTTAATTTTTATAAACAATATTTAACAAAGACAAGCTATGCCCCATTTATATATATGTATATTCATAAGTATTTTCCAACACTGTCAACGCAAAGGAAAACAATCAAAAAGAAATTATAATCCATATATTTATGAGATGATGCAGTGTAACATTTTCGATTTATACTATATACTGAAGCCAAACATGAAGCAAAGTTGCATTTAGATATAAGAAATTCTCTATGTATACACTGCACAGTGGAGCAAAACTTCCAAATGCATTTATTGTAAGCGTACACATGTGCGCAATGCGCAAATGTCAAAGAAATACATATTATATATATACATTCAAATATGAAAAGAAAAACTAGTTTCTATGTCCACAGTGCGTGCACAGTTGATTGGCAACTGTTGCTTTAGCCAAGACACGCACCCCAAACACAGTAGCTGTAAAACTGTTGTCTATGCCTGCGCTAGAAGTCTTTGGATACAGCTTTCTTTGAACTTTCTGCTTTAGAGTTTTCTCTCTGTTTATTAATAAAGGAATTAAATTGTTTTCCGTACACAGAATCTAATTTGCTGCGCTGCCGATGTGCTTGAGGGCAAAGGTGCCGTCCAGGTGTCAATTACGGTGGGTGAACTATTTCGATTGCATGGCAGCGGTCTAGTGGAGCACAGCAGCGGCGGCAGTGGTGCAGCCACGCCCACAAAATCACCAACCAGAACAACAACACGTGCCACATTGTCACCAACGCCCCTAGTCTAGAAGGAAGCGGGAAGTGAAGTGAAAGTGACAGCAGCAGCTGAGTGTGCAGGAAGCTTCCTTTTGATGCTGCCCACGCAGAGAGGGAGACGTGAACCAAATGGATAAAATACTTTTTGAAACTTTTTTGGCAGAATATAATATAAATAGTAAACACACTCAGAGACGACACACACACACACAAACGGGTTTCCTGCAGAACTTTGAAGAGTTGTAGCCAACAGTTAGTAGTTACATTTATTATGTCATATGCTTTGTTAAACTTCATTTAGGCGTGTAGTTTATTTATTTATGTAAATACAACATATACAAACACATAACATACATACACACACAGCACAATACAATGAAACCAAAAAAGAAAAACAACAAGAAACATGAAACAAACAAACAGACATAAACCAACGAATTTGAGTTAGTCACAAGGAAATATTTATTAAAATTTATCATATGAATTTATCTACTCACACACTCACACACACATACATACATATATGTATATTAATAGTTTGTAAAGTGCATCTCAAACTGTATGCCATTTGTTTCTGTTATATATTTAATTGCGGTTTGTCTACTCAACTTTGGCCAAAATTAAATGAAATACTGTTTTAAGTATGAAGCATTCATTATTCATCATAAACATACAATATAAACACACATACATACATATATACCATATACATATAAATCGATATATACATATATATATATGTGCATATGTGAGTAATTTTATTGATTATGTAGCTTAGTCCTAACGTTAGCTGTGCTCATTTTTCTACTCTTTATACGAAGCGAATTATGCACTAAGTCTTCGAATATATCAAATAAAAACTGAAAAATTGTAATACATAGAAAATGTTGAAGCTGTACTTTAATTTTCGGGATGGGATAGAAGATTACGAAATACTGTGGGTTAGTTATATTCGATTTTCGATTTCCTTGTGGCATTATAGGCGTGCCAATCATTCTGCAATGATGTCATCCCAGTTGAGCTAAGTAAGAGGAATGGTGCAAGCAATTGTGATTCATTCCAAGGTCAGACTGCAATATACCAAATTTAGCTTCCTTTAAGTTAGTTTATGGTATTTTAAAATATCTTGTCTT